TTGAGAAGATCAGATGGGGGTCAGTGAAGAGGAGTATACTCTAGACCAAGGATAGATTCAGCTGAGGGTAATCTTGCACAGACAGCAGTGATACAAAATACCTGCAATCCTTACAGAAACAATAGAAGACAGACATAGAGCAATCTCTCACAGATGGCCAGACACTGTGGGAGAGACAGAGCCAGTGGATCTACCGACTCAGGACCATAGTCTTGGAGGACACCAAACTCAGTTGGCACAATAAAATACATAAAAATCTTGTTCCACACCTTACACTGGTGAGTAGTGACTGGGGTCTTAAAAGCTTTTGAGTGGCCATCTAAGATGCAGCTAATGGTCTCCTGTCATTGGAAGCGAAGAATAGTGTAGAAAACCAAGGGCATTTGAAAACAATCAGGCCTAGAACATGACGTACCTTGAGACCAGGAGAAGTAGATGGTGCCCAGCTACCAATGCCAGCTACTTGGGAAGGGATCAAAACTGGAGATCCTGGATAGAGTGGGAGTGAAAACATGAAACAAAATCCAAAAACAAAATAATGACCAGAATTACTGGTTGGATGGAGTCTGGTGGGACCCCCAATACTATGGCCCTGGGATACACTTTGGGCCTGGAATTAAAAAAAAAAAAAAAAAAATCACTCCCAAGGGCTGGCTCTCAGCCCAATAGTAAATAAGATGTACACACAGACCACTCAACCCAGGGTGATGCACCCACATACTCTTTGGAGATATATCCCTTGGAGCAATTGACCATGGGACACCAAAGGGGCAACATTCAAACAAAGGAAATGCAGGACACACTGGAGTGTGTAACTATGAAGGGCATGAGGTGGGGGTGTTACTGGAATGGGAGAGGAGGAGAGTGGGTTAGGGTTGGGGATGGTAATTGGGGAGTGAAACAAAATGTACATGAAATGTTGAATGTAAAACAAACTCTGTAAATTTGCACCTGAAGCACATTTTTTAAAAAATGCTTATCTCTGTGGTTTTCTTTTTACATTCCTGTATTTTTTGTATTTTCTGTGATGACTTAGCATTAAAAGTATGTTGTTGTTGTTGTTATGTGCCGTCGAGTCAGACCCGACTCATAATGACCCCTCCTTGGGTTTCCGAGGCAGTATCACTACAGAAGTAGATTGCTCCATCTTCCTTCCGAATTAAAAGTATACAAATCTTTAAAAGATAAACATTTTAAGTAAGTTTATGATACTAATTTTAAAAGTAATAAATGCATTGTATTTCTGTACATTAGTAATTGAACAATCCAAAACAGAAATTAATAAATCAATACTATTTGCAATAGAGTAAAAAAATAATAAAATACTGAGGAATAAATTTACCCAAAGAGATGTAAGACTTGTGCATTATAAAATATAAAGCATTGCTAAAAAAAAAAAAAGTTAGAGAAAACCTAAATAAGTGAAAAAACATCCATGTTCATGAATTATAAAACTTAATATTGTTAAAATGGCAGTACTCCCAAAGTGGTCAAAGCAATGGCTATCAAACTGCCAGTCACCTTTTCTGCAGCAGTGGAACAGCCTATCCTAAGACTCATATGGAATTGCAAGGGACCCTGAACAGCTAAAACCATCTTTAAAAAAAAAAAAAAAACACTTGCAGGATTCACACTTCCCAACTTCAAAACTTTTACCAAAGCTATATTATTTAATATAATGTGGTACTGACATAAGAATATACATATGGAACAATGGCATAGAATTGAGAGTCCAAAATAAACCCATATACATATGGTCAGTTGATTTCTGACAGTGATACTAACACCATTTTATAGGGGAAGAATACTTTCTTCAACAAATGGTGCTGGCACAACTCAATATCTGCAAGAGAATGACGTTCTATATATATATAAATTAACTCAAAATAGGCTGAATATCTAAATATAAGAGGTAAAACTATAAAATTCTTAGGAGAAAACATAGGCATAAATCTCTGTGACCTTGCAGTAGGCAGTCCTTTCTTAGATATAAAACCAAAAGCACAAGCAGCAAAAGATTAAATAAATTGGACTTCATCAAAACTAAAAACTTTGGTACATCAAAGGACATCATCAACATAGTTAAAAGACAACTTAGAAATGTAGAAAATACAGTAAAACCTGCAAAAGGTGGAAACCTGTCAGTAAAGGAAATGCCAATTATTTTCCACTAAAACAAGCAATAAGAGTGGTAATACTGCACTCTGTCTAAGGTGGAAAATTTGTGAGACCTGGAAAAAAAGGCAGTCCCATTAAATTCTGCTCTCACAGGTTCTACTATAGTTGTAAATCATATATCTGTTATGCAGAGTATATAAAGAACTCTTAGAACCCAACAACAAAATTTCAAACAACCAAATTAAAAAATGGGCAAAGGAATTGAATAGGCATTTCTCCAAAGGGGATATACAAATGAACAATAAGTGTATGAATAGATATTCAGTGTCATTAGTCATTGTTAGTTGCAGCCAAGTTAGCTCCGATTCATGGTGACTCCTGTACAACAGAATGAAGTGTTGCCCAGTCCTGTGCTGCCTTCGTGACCATTAATATGCTTGAGTCCATTGTTCAGGCCATTGTATTTTGAGTGCCTTCCAACCTAGAGGGCTCATCTTCCAGCGCTGTATTGGACAGTATTCTGTTGTGATCCATAGGAATTTCATTGGCCAATTTTCAGACTTAGACCACCTTTGTTGTTAGCCTTTCTTAGTCTGGAAGCTCCACTGAAACCTGATGACCCTGCTAGTATTTGAAATACCAGTGACATAGCTTCCAGCATCGAAGTACCACATAAGCCATCACAGTACAACAGACTGACAGACAGATGGTGCTATTAGTCATCAGGGAAAGGGAAATCAGTACCACAATGGAATACCACTTCACATTCATTAGGATGGCCATAAAAATAATAATAATAAATAGTAAGTGTTGGTGGGAATGTGGAGATTGAAACCCTTACATATTCCTTGTAGGAACATAAAATGGTGCTGTGGAAAAGTCTGGTGGTTCCTTGAAAAGTAAAACAATTTCTATATGACCTAAATTCCATTCCTAGATACATACCAAAAAAATTGAAAACAGATATTCAGACAAAAACTGTGCCCAATTGTTCACAGCAGCTCTATTCACAGAAACCAAATGTCCGTGAATGGATAAACAAAATGTGGTATATGTATACAATAGTGTATTATTATACAGACATAACAAGGAATGGAAAACTGATTCATGCTACCACTGGACAAACATTGAAAACATGCTCAGTGAAAGAACAATGAATAAGGAAGACCGAAGAAGAGTTGATGCTTTTAAATTGTGGTGTTGGAAAAGAATGCTAAGAGTACCTAAAAGTACTAACAAATCTGTCCTGGAAGAAGTGCGGCCAGAATGCTCCTTGGAAGGAAGAATGGCCAGACTACATCTTACTTACTTCTGACCTTATTGTCAGAAGGAACCATTTGCTGGAGAAAGGGTATCATGCTTGGTAAAGTGGAGGGTCAGCGAAAAAGGGGAAGGCCCTCAATGAGATGGATTGATGCAGTGACTGCAATGATGGGTTCAGATATAGCAGGGATTGTGAGGCTGTCACAGGACCAGGCAGTGTTTTGTTTTGCTGTGCATAGGGTCACTGTGAGTTGTAGACAACTCGACGACACCTAACAAGTGAAAGAAACTAGACACAAAAGTCACATATTGTATGATTCCATTTATATAAAATATCCAGAATGAGCAAATCTATAGACAAAGATTAGTGATTGCCAAGGGTTTAGGGGAAGGAAGAATAATAGGAAGTGACAGTTTAAGGGATATGGGATTTCTTTTTGGGGTGATGAAATGTTTCAGATCTAGATGGTAGTGGTGATGGTTGTACAACATTATGAATTTACTGTATATCACTGAATTGTACACTTTAAAGTGAGTAAAATGATGAATTTTATGTTAGGTGTATTTTACCACAGTAAGAATCAATAAACAAATAAATGCTTTGGAAAGTCCTGTAGACATCTTGAAGGAGCTCAGGTGGCATAATGCATAAGGCATTTGACTGCTAACCAGAAGGCTGGCAGTTCAAACCCACCAGCCCCTCCTCAGATGGAAGATTGGGCAATCTACTTCCATAGAGGTACTGCCTCACAAACCCAAGGAGGGGTCATTATGAGTTGGAATTGACTTGATGGCAGTTGAGTAAATATCTTGAGTGCTGCTACCTAAAGGCAACCATAGTCAACATTGTTAATATTTTATGCACACTTAGCTTGGTGTTTAGCATATGTTTTCATTTCTTAAATAGTTACTATGTTTATATAAGTAATTTTAAAACATATTCAGTGTTAAACAATTTTAATAGATGGTATAAAAATTGTTTTAATGATTTTTTGGTATTCTGTCAATTGGCTACAATGATAGGCTCAAACATACCAAAGATCATGAGGATGGTGCAGGATCAAGTGGTGTTTCATTGTGTGACACGTAAGGTCACCATGAGTTGGAATGGACTCCATGGCAACTAACATCAGCAACAACATATTGTTGGACATTTAGGTTGCTACTGATTATTACATTATTGTGAATAATTGTTAATTTATAATAGATTTCTAGAAATGAAATTACTAGGGTAAAACTATAAGCACTCATAACTTCTAGTTTTAACAAAAGATCTCATTCTTCCTATAGTCTGAAATACTGAATTGAATGTAGATTGATACTGTTACTTCCCCTCCATCTCCTGTAGTTTCTTGGAGTGAAATATTATTCATACAGCTTTTACAGTGTTACTTAGATGAGCCCTGTATGGTTTCTGACTTAGATCCTTTGCATGTCTGTGAGCCTGGACATTAACATCATTATCTTTTATTTCTAATTTAAATAGATGAACATTTGAGAGTGAAATTTTTTTTATTTTGTACACTAACAATGGAAGCTTGTAAATTTTATAGTATTTATATTGATATAAATGTGCACATGTATCTATGATAAGAGTCTGTTCTTTTTCTCTATTTTAGCACAGATGTATTTCAAAGATTGGGCGCTAATTCAGCTCTGGCTACTTCAAAAATATCATCATTTGAAGAAGCATTTATATATCTTCAAAAATTAATGGCAGCTGTCAAGGATATTCTTGAAGGAATTCAGAAGTAAGCACTTTATTAATTTTAGAGTTTCATTTATTTGTGACTCTCTTCTAGGCTTAATCAGCTTTTTCAGAGTTGCTGGGAGTCTTCCAGCAACTTTTATAAACTAATATTTTTTAGATTTACCTATTTCCTCCTCCTCTGAAAAGAATCACTATTTCTAGTTTGGACAGTATCAGTGTTTCCACTTTTTCCCTTTCTAGATTTTGTAAGCTTCATGAGAAATATTATTTCCTTTACTGTGTGACTATGACTCTTAGAACATTGCCTGGCACGTAGTAGATGCTCAGTAATCAGTTGTTGAATAAATATATGTGAAAGTAATTAAACACTGACCTTTCAAAGCAAATATATGTTAATATTTGTTAGCATAGTGATTTTTTCCCTAATGCAGTCTCACATTACTAAAAACGAAACCTGTTGCTATTGAGTCAATTTCTACTTGTGGTAACCTCATGTGAGAGCAGAACTGAGCGCCATAGGATTTTTGTAGGTGTAATCTCTGGTAGCATAGTGCCTAAGGGACTTGACTGCTAACCAGAAGGCTGGCGGTTCAAACCCACCAGCCACTCCTCAGAAGGAAGATGGGGCAATCTACTTCCATAGTGATACTGCCTCAGACACCCAAGGAGGGATCTCTATGAGTCGAGTCAGACTCGACAGCACATAACAACAACAACAGCCTCCTATGTACCTCTCTCTGTCTTCTTCTTCCTCAGTGCCACCATGTTGATTACTCACATTTGGTACATTGCCCTTCTTTTCACCCAAATCAATACTTATCTCTACCTATCTAACATTGTTCCCTCCTCTCCCCTCCCACCCCTGGTAACCAACAAAGAAAATTTCCTTCCATAGATAAACTTTTCCTTGACTTTTATAATAATGGACTAATACAATATTTGCCCTTTTGTGATTGACTTATTTCACTCAGCATAATGTCCTCCAAGTTCATCCATGTTATGTGGTGTTTTTCAGATTCTGGGTTATTCTTTAGCATTGCATAGTATTCCATTGTGTGTATGTACCATAGTTTGGTTATCCATTCCTCAGTTGGTGGACACCTAGGTTGTTTTCATCTTTTGGCTATTGTAAATAGCACAGTTTCTTCTCAGAACCTGGAATGCTCTCCCAGTGCCCATGTATTTTTCAAAATTTTATCCAAATTTTTCCGGTCCCCGTTCAGAAGCTACCTACTCCATACAAACTTTCCTGAGTAGCCCAGGTGTCGGTGTATTCACGTTCTGTTGCAATTTGTTTGTATTGAAGCCTTAGGGTTCTTAATACATATTGCCTTCTATTATAATTATGTGCACATTTTTTATGTCTGCCCCTAAATTACGAAGCCCATGAGAATAGGATCAGTAGCTTATATCTCCAGTATCCCCAAAGTATCTTAGTTATTGCTTTATATCCAGTACAATTGTGGTAGTTAAATTTGTATGTCAACTTGGATGGGCCTAGTTGAGTGGCTGGGAACCTCTTAGATCCCTAAA